GCCAATGAAATGATTATACAATAATTATAACAAAATATCAGTTATTGTCTTAAAATAAGCGCCTAGCTTTCATTAGTATTAGTGGAAGACAACTAAACCTTACATTAAGACAGTAGAAAGATGTATATTAAAAAGTAACAGAATGGTGCAGCTGAAACCGAACACGAGCTCCAAGCCGTCTCTTACAATGGTAGTCTAAGCTCGAGTGAACCTATACGAACTTATTTGGTTACACAGTCTGCATCTTCTTTACCACTGCGGTATAATTTATCGTTACTCTGCCCTGGCTAACTTTAAAGGTTAGTTGTCTGAGACGTACTTTCTCTGTACACTGTCTGAAAAACAGAGATTTCCTAAAAGAGTATTAGAAAGCTCTTACTTGAGATAGTTGCAAAGATTATGCTTAATTCCAGCCAATGTTGAACTCTTCTTGTCTGGAGTTGGCTAGATGACAGGGTAACAGCTGTGTTTATAAGAAAGATCAAAGTTTTCACTTAACCTCCGTTAGAAGCAAAGAGATCAGTGCATTTTTTGTGTTTACCACAAAGAAATAGACACACAATACAGCACTATAAATATAGTGGGGAGAAATGAATATTTCATAGATCTTTAAATCCGTTCAGTTATTCAAAATTGTCTGGCAAGGCCGAGGGGCCCGGAGACCTCCTTTTCTACTGAGCATTGTTCACATGGATTCTGTAAGCTTATGTAAGTGTTACAAGTCCCAAGGAACTGTTAAAAATCAGTGGAGAAGGCAAATAACTATATAACAAAGACCTAAGTTAAATTGCAACCAGCGGATCCGCAGACATTCCCAGACAAATGTCACAATTCTACACAAGGGCAACAACTGTTTTACTATAGTAGTTCAGAGAAGAGCTGAAAAAGTCTCAAGGTGGACTGCACGCTTTGGTTTTCTGTGAAGTCTGGGTGCACACAGGCAAAAGAAGCTGTATTTGTTGAACTCGAGCAGTGGACAGATCACAAATATGGATCCGTTTTTGCTTTTGTGAAATGACATCTTCAAAGCTCATAGCCTGATTACTGCATTGTTATGTTTAGGTAACAAATGGCTATTATAAATTAAAATCTTGCTAATAAAACATGTATGGTTAGAAAGGAATGCTAGCTGCTTTAAAACGCTTTTGTAATGCTTGCTGACATGAACATTTCTGAATCAGCAGTGTGTGATGATTAAGGACACAGTGTTATCTGCCGCCCTTGCACCTGAGCTCACAGACAACTTGTAAAGACATACAGGAACGCCGTGCGCTTCCAGGGCTCCAGCAGCCCCTCCTGAGAAATTAACTGGAAAAACGGTCATTTCCACCCTGCTGACCTTATCTGGACACTAGTGCAGGCTGCCGGGGGGAAGAGTGCTGGGCTCACATCACTTCCGAGTCACAGAGAGCCGTGGAGATAGTTGTGGGCCCAGAAGCAGCACAGTCCTGTCTCCTGCTCTCTCACCAGCATCCCTGGAAGGAGGTCAGATTTTAGATAATCCTAAAAACGGGACACAACTGTGCAAACCGTATTTCCACTTCTTCTCCACTGACAGGAGATTTAGAACAGCCACAGAACATTTCTAGGCCAGTGTCAATATGCAGTCACCAATTACTGAAGAAACAAAACTGGAGTCCGTGGGTGTAGCATTTTGGGTTTTGCCATGGGAGGGACATTGAAATATTCACAACACACAGGCCAAGTCATAAAAATACATGGGACATACAAGCCTGTCATTTTGCTCTGACATCTTGTGATCTTTGTTTCAACAGTCTTAAATAATATATGTTTTAGCACGTAAGACCTTTTTTTTCTTTCCACAATGTTTGTCAGTAAAGCAATCCTGAGGAAAACGTAATTTCAACAGAAGAAAACTCTCTTAGACATATTTATAAATAAAAATGAAAAAAAAAAAAAAAAGAAAACCAGGAAACACAGTATCAGCACTTGTGTTATTTACCAGGGAACAGAAGTGACGGCCAATAACTAACTCCTCCTGATTCAGGCTAACATAAACCTATTTCGAAGAGCAGTTTACAAGGATGAGGACTAGCATCATGCCATTGCAAATCAAACACAATAAAGCTGAGCGGAGTGGAGGTCGGAGAGTGGCCCCGTGGCCTACGTGTGCGATCTAAACAAAGAACGAGCATCCTCTGCTTCTAAGCACTAAGGGATGTGGGTTCCTCTCACTTCCTGAGAAGGCCTCCTAGCACCACTAGACAGTCACAAGCGGAGCCACCAGGTCCCTCCCTTTAAGGGTAACACCTCCTGCCTTTTTTGGTGTCACTGTATTTACGGGGACCCCATGGGCTAGTTTCCCAAGAGAGCTCCCCTGATAACAGGCGGCAGTCCTATTGCGTGACTTCATCAGACAGCTTTCAGAGAAACCATATGCGCTCCTGGACCCCCAGGCCCACTATCCTCATCTGCCCAATCGGCCCTAAACACAGCTCCCTCCAGTCCTATAGCAGTTTCTCTACATCAGCTTTTCTAACTATGAGACAGCAATTTTCAAATGCACTGGGATAAGGGATACCTTTTTTTGATATTTTGAAATGACAGTTTTTTTTTACGAGAGTCACTATCGACAGTGTACCCTTCTGGCCAGGCTGATGCTTTTAGAGGTCTCTGTCCCATTAGAGATGGCCGGAAGGGACCATATCAAGACTCCTGCTCGTTGCTTCTCCCCTGACAAGCCCAAAGCCTGCTTACGAAGGGGTGGTACTGCCTTGCTGGATAATCGATTTTACTGTGGTAAATACCTGTTGGACATGGCTATGCAGTATTTCACCTGTATTCCAACGCATGTAGTTTACACCAAACATCTACATGATTACCAGAGTTCACTCACTGAATTTTTAATTACCTGTAACATTTTCCTATCCCTTAAAGAATAATTTTTTTGAATCCATAAGATACTTACAAGACACTTTATGAATAGAAAAACTGAATAAAAATATTTACTGCTACTAATAAAAATATTTTTCAAAAAATAAAACTGTACAACTCTGAAATAAATCAGAGCTCTCTGGACTGTGGAAGAGAGATGCTGGATGTTTCACTTACCTGTAATCATCGAGGCAGCTCTAGAAGACAGCGATTCCGGTCCCCATTTACGATACAACAGTGCATCAGGAGAGGCACAGGCTTGCGGGAACACAGCTTGCAGAGATTTGCTGCCATCTCTACCTGACCAGCAGGACCTTCACCTTATCCTTTTTTGACTCCGTCATGATGGGTCACAAGAACACAGCGTGGAGTCGTACGTGATGCGGACAGGACGACCTTGCAGCGGGTGAAGCAGATTCTGTTGTCTCTAGGCGGCGTCCCCTGCGCGCTAGAGCTTCCTACTAAGAAGGACGAATGTCCACGCGAGTGGAAGCCCCGAAAAGCGTGGACCCTGTGCCACTGTCTCAGGGCTTCTTTATCCCTATTTCAAGATGTTCCAAAACCTGAGACGCCAGTGCACACAGGTTTGCAGACAGTACATGGGGGCCGGGGTGGGGAACATAATCTGTCCCTTTTTAAAGAAACTGCCAATTTTTTTGGTGTTAAACTGTATAATAAGTTACTAAGGACATTACAAGGCCTTGTCCATATAGGTTGCCAACCAAATGATACATGGGCACATCTATACACTCAACCACTTCCAGGTACACTGAGAAAGTTCTATTCTCCTTTTTAAGTGTTTGTGTCTCTGAGAATCAGGAAATAAGCATTTACTCAAAGGGAAGACAGAATGCACTTCGAATAATCCTTTAACAAAATCAAAATCACTGTTTTCCTCTCCCTGTCTTCTCTGTAGCTAAGCTAAGTGAATTTAAAAATACATCCATATATACAGCAGAGTAGGAAAATAATTGTTCAAAACATCAACACTTTATTTAACAAAAGCAACAACTGAGACCCTTCTAAAATTTACAACATATTTGATATAAAAATAAGGAATTCTTCAAAATATGCAGTAGCGGTACAAAGTTTCAGAGTAGAAAGAACAGACGGTTCGCGTCACACCTCAGTCACCCAGAAGGACAGCTTGCGGTCGCCCCCCATTGCGCACAGCGGGAGGGTCCTGTGCCAGGAGAGGCCGGATCCCACGGCGACCGAGCCTGTGAGGACGGGCTGCAGGCCCGGGGGAGGAAAGTGGCACAGTGAGCCTCGGAGCTCAGGACGGAAACTTCCAAAAACACCAAGAGCACTGATGGATTATCTTTGTCTCTAGCAGAAGCACAATTTAAAAATACACTGGATTTGGTGGCACATGCCTGTGGTCCCAGCACTCAGAAGGCTGAGGCAGGAGGATTGCAGAGTTCAAGGCCAGTCTGGGCTACATAATGAGACCCTGTCTCAAAAACAACAAAACCGCACAGTGCTTGCACCTGGCAAGCGCGAGGTCATGAGTTCAATTCTCAGTACCAAAAAAGCCAAAAACCAAAACCAAAACCAAAAAAAACCTTCCACTCCCCCCAAACCAACAAAACAAAACAAAAAGCAAATAAATAAAATAAAAATAAAGGACTGGAGACTTGGCTCGGCATGAATATTTTGGGCTCAATCCCCAGTACTGCAAACAAAAACAAAGGTAAACAGAGAGACAGACCAAGGCGCTCCAGCTGAGACATAAATACATAGAAACACGCTTCCTCAGAGGTGAGTACACACCGTGTACTCGGACACCACCCTCTGAGTGTGAATGCACAGGACAGCCGAGACCACACCAACTACATGAGCAAAATGAAGTGGACATGTTTAAACGAAAGAGAAACTACAGAAGCAACAGAAGAAATAAGCTTCTTACATGAATTTTGGCAAAGAAAAAAATGTTGCCACAGGTGATTTAAACATCAAGATGCCTTCTCTTTCCATTTATGCAGATACCAGACATAACAAACTATAACCCTTTCTAACTATTTTAGTTACTACAAATCTGGGGGCTGGGGATACAAAAGTCAGAAACACAAATTAAAAAACCACGAATGCCGCGAAGGCATTACCTGAGGGTGCCCGAGGTGGTGGATCTGGAACTGGCTGCTCATCTTGCCAGGGTAACCAGTGGTTGCAAACAAGCTCTCACTAATTGTGGACCACCTGGGAAATAGGAACGCGTGAACATAAGCACAATACCCTAAGGGTAAGGGCAAGCTTTCTGGAGCAAGTTATTTCATTTTGCACAAAAGCTGTAGCTTTTACAATCCTAAATTTGTTCACATGGTTTAAAATGTAGACTGGGAGATCCAGGTTAATCAGTTATAAATATTTCCCCACTTTGTGAGTATTTATTCAGTGCTTAGCTGTCTGTCATCGCATTAAGTTCCAAGCTACACAAGGCTGACATGGTCTCTTCCTTATAATCAAAGGGCAGAGTGTGGTGGGAGACACAACAAGCCACCAGACAGATACAAAGTACTTCACAGGACAAAACATTTAGTAAGTACATCGGATGTTCACTGGCATTTCTTAGGAAGTGAGTGATACAAGCATGTGTTTTCATTCCTTGGGATGAAATCAACGCTTGAGGCTTTGTGGGTGTTGCAGTTCATTGAATTACAACTACGAGAGTTTTTTTTTTTTTTTTTTTGGTTTTTCTCCGGTACCGGGAACCGAACTCACGACCTTGCGCTTGCCAGGCAGGCGCTTTTGCCGCTGAGCTAAATCCCCAGCCCCAACTACGAGAGTTTTGATAACATGCCTGGAGCTGCAGTAAGCGCAGTGGGGAAGACATTAACCAAAGAGGGATCCTTTCTCATACATACACACATGCGCACGCACGTGGATGGCTGGTCCAAGACGTTGTTACTGCCTGTCCAGCAGCCACCTGGCCTTTCTTCAGCTGCCGTGTGCCCAACACTGGGGGACGAGGCATACGGAGAATGCTCCCTACTCTTCTCTGACCTCACAATGTGGCATGAGGCTACGATGGCAGGTACTCCCACAGCCATCTTGCAGCTACGAAGCAATGAGCCTGGGGCCATGACCCTGGGGATGGCACTGGGCAAGGATGAAAAGGCTCCGAGTGTCTGATGACCCTTCAGAGTTGAGAAGCCAGCCTCGAGACTGCCCCTCCCAACACCCCAGGACTGATATTCACTGATTTAGAAACATATTACTCGCTGACCTCTCTGAAATCAGGACGTGCGCAGCTTAGAATCAATGGCATTGTTACACTCAGTTAAATACATTTTGCTGTTAACAGTGGTATCCTCAAGTCCTATAACTATGTTGGGGATATTTTACATCTGATGAAAAACAGGGGATTATAATGCTCTGGTTTTAGTCTGATACTCGGTTTCCCTGTTATTTAGAGCTGAAAGTAGCTTAATGATAACTTACACAATGGAATACTACGAAAAGTGAGCAAAAATGAACAAGAAGTTAATGGAAGTGAAAAACCCAGCATGTAGAAGATACACATGACGTGGCGCATTCTCCTTTAGAAGTGAGCTTACTATGTAAGTGCAGGTCTGCATACATCTGAAGCTTTACCAGCACGGCCAGCAGGAAAGCACAGTATGATCCAGACTGCTGAGGTGGCACACGAGTGCTAATATTTCTTTTGTGAGCTACGAAGTTTTGCAAAGAAAATATTTGGAAAACAAATCCACTCCTTGTTAAGTCCACAAAACAAAAGCACAGACTTAGTTGGGAAAGTGAGTTAGCCCTTATAGTAACCTCTATAAAACAATCAGGAAAAGAAGAAATTAGGTGCAAAAGTGAGGACTAGGAAATAGTCCAGGGGTGGCAAAGCACAAAGTAATAAAATGAAATGGCAACACGAACAAAAGTGGCTCATTACCTGAACAAGCAGGCGCGGTCCATGTGAACGGGTCTTGTCTCTTGAGGGTAACTAGAAAGCAGGATTTTGTATTTTGTGAATTATGTTTTTAAGACTCAAGTAGATAAAATTAAATCCAGGCTTTAAAGGTATTTTCTCTTTAGGGGCCCGATGACAAGGGTCTGAGCGTTTGATGACCCTGCAAAGTTAGCCTTGAGACTGCCCCTACACTACACCTGTGTACTGTCCTGCACTGACTTAAAAATGCATTACTCGCTGACATCTATGAATCAGGGTGTGAGTGGTAACAAAATTCCAAGCCAAGCATGGTGGCGCAGGCCTGTAATCTGAGTGCTTGGGAGGATGAGGCACGAGGAGCACTGCAAATTTGAGGTCATCCTGGGCTACATAGTGAGGTCAAGGCCAGCCTGAACTACTTAGTGAGACCCTCTCTCAACCAGACACAAAACAACAATAAAATGCCAAGTAGCTCTCAGTCAAAGCAGATGACACGTGAGAGTCACGTGGCTTTGAATCACTCCAGGGTACCATCACTCAGCGGAGCCGGTGTTGTTTCTAATGTAAGTAAGCAGTACTGAGGTCAGAGCTCAGGAAAAAAGAAATCAGTTGCAAAGTGAGGACTAGGAAATATTCCGGTGCTCTGTCCTCTCTGGGTCTCTCCCAGCAGCGTGCAAGGCACCATTATGTCAAACCCCACAGCTCCAGCACTTTTGCTGAAGACACTTGTTTTCACTCTACAGTGGCCTGGGTATATAAACATCCCTGTGGATCATTTAGTCAGTTAATGATTTCTGTGTAAGTCAGAGAGGGATACGGTGAGGAAATACCTGGACCGAGTGATATCCCAAATCAGCCAATCATTTCCTGCAACTGCTCCAACTTTGAAGGTGTTTTTTAAACACCAGTGTGCTGACATTAGTGGTATCTGTTCAGATTCAAGAGACAAAATAGCCTGATGGGTCACAAGATCGTAAAACCGGATCGTTCCATTCTTCTCTGCAACCATCAGCTGTAAGACAGAAAAAAGGAAACTTAACCACTTATCTCAAAGCCCAACCGGAGAAGCAAGCAGATGCAGGCTACACAATGCAACGTAAACACACTCATGTACGTGACAAGGAAGATCCAGGGCGTGGAAGTAAGTGAAGGCCGGGTAAAAAACTCCCTGCCAAATACAGACAGTACCTTAGAGAAAAGTGGCAAAAGGAAACGCAGGAGAGCTAAGTGCATCAAGAAAGTTCGGTGATGAGGGACATGATGTCTGGTCTCTAGGAAGAGCTCAGCCTGAGCGGTGTCTCTCGGAGTCAGTTATGCTGTCTGGAAAGGACAGGCAAGCACTTGTCTCTCACACAGACCCACCCGCATTACCTCTCCCTACCCAGTTTAAGTTGTTGCCCGGTGGAAGGCAGTGTGGCACAGGGGAAGATCACAGGCAGGTCCGAGAGCTGACTGCTGGTTCCGTTTAAAAAACGAAAGACTCTGTGAAATGCTGTACCAAATGCACAAATTCATAAGATGAAGCTTAATTTTATAAAACATGGAAAACATCATCAGACTCAAGGCAGCATGGCCTCAGCATATGTGGTGGTGGAAGACTAGATCCAGAGACTCTCGACAGAGTGAGTGAGGAGTTGATGCTCAAAGAGAATGCTGTGAGAACTTCTCTGTCTTCTGTGAAGCTCTTTCTTTTTCAGAAGGCTCTTTTAATTTAGCTTATATTAAGGTAAAAACATCTCTGAAGGTTTGAGGTGGCAGCAGCAGACTGGAACAATGTGGGAACTGGCGTCAGAAATCTTGGGCTCTGCCACCCATCTGTTGAATGACTGCGGAAGATTTCTCTTATCTATAAAATGAGGGATAACCATTTCAGACTCAAAAGGTTACTGTATGGCTGAAATGTGACTGTACTTTAGGAAAGTACGATTGTACCACGAAACAGCATAAAAATACTTCAACCACTTCTAACAAGACAGGCCACGCCAGGCCCAGGGCTTTGGCAGCCTTCTTGCTATTCATCCAGTACCGAGCACCTACTATCTTTCTATGCCCTGTTCAGTGGATTCTCATCTGTGACAGTTAGGCGTTCTAGGCTGTTCCAAGCAGTGAACTACAAATACCGAAGCATGACTCCAAGGGGAAATGGAGGGTTAAGCTCTCTGGAGCCTCTTAGTACTTTTTTTCAAGACACGCTCTTACTACACAACCCACGCTGGTCTCAGATTCATGCTCCTCCTGCTTCAGCTTCCTAATGGAGGGATTACAGGCACGTGCCACCCTGCCTGGCTCCTCACAGCATTTTTGCCAACTGCTTAATACGTAACTTTGTGTTTCTGTTGAAAGACAGCTTATGTAGCATAAACAGACGCATTCACAGACCTCATGAGCAACAGCAGTGCAACTCAGGCTGAACACAGCTCAGCTGACTCGTGTCTCCCCTGGCATCACTTGATGTGCCCAAGAGACCCTGTGCACAGTACATTACCAACAAAAAGTGTAGCGATGTAAGACATGCAGCACTGAACAGATCTCAGAAACACACTTACTGATGCTGTAAGGCAGTGTCCCTTGTTCTACCTTAGGTGGGACTACACAGTATCTATTTCTGGACATCTAAAAAGTGTTGTGAATACTGATTTTGGGGTTACAAAGAAATTATAATGAGTAGATGAATTTGCAAATACAGACTCTGCATTGGAAGGATCACATGCACACCCACACATGTAATCACGGCTAATTTCAACAGAAGTCAAAGATAAAAGATGGAGCCGGGTATGGTGGCATATCCCTGTCATCCCTGCACTTGGGAGGCTGAGGCAGGAGGATTGCCATGACTTTGAGGCCATCCTTGGCTACATAGGATCCAGCCTGAACTACATGGTAAGACCCTGACTAAAAAAAAAGATAAAGATGGTATTTCATCTTACAACTGTTAGATGCTATTGTTTTATGCTTTCCAGATGGCAAGGCTCTTCTGTATAGTTTATCATTCAACAGATTTCAAAGAATTCTAGGATGGAGGTAACCAGGGACGTCTCTCTTTCTGTCTCATTCTCACCCGGACCATGGTCAAAACGTGACTTCCGGGTTTGGTCTGCTGGGGCTGCCTGATGGGAGCTGCGAAGGTTACTGACCACGCCAGGCAGTGGGCACTGACTGCTTACTATGTGCTTTGTAAAGGATTCGACAAATGGAAACTCATTTCGTTGTTACGCACTTTACGAGAGGAGAGGAGGAAGGCAGCGTTTCAGTAACTTGCTGAGGGTTACATCAAGTGACTTCAGTGTGACTCGGCTCCAGGCAGGTAACCCGAGTGCATGTTCTTACCACCTCCCCGTGTGACTCTGTGTTCTAGGTTTCTGAGGCTGGGGTGACACAGGAAACGACTCTGTAAGAGTATTAGTCAAGCAGGCAAGAGGAGCAAGCACAAGGTCCCAGAGACAAGTTTAAGGCTGTTGGGCGTGAGTTAGCCCTGACAACAGGAAAGGGAAGGTGGAGCTCAACGAGGAGAGGAACGACTACAGTAACAGTGAAGGAAAAATTAACAATGAACAAAAAGTTTGTGGATAGGGAAGGAAAGAATTAAAGGTAACTTTAGGATTTTGAGTTTATGTGATTTAGAAGAGAGACTTCCAAACATTTGGAAGTTATGAAAATATAAAAAGGAGATGGGATAGGGTAGTATCTTTAGAGGAAAAATAAAAAATTAAGTTAAAGCATATGGAAGGGGCCTGAAATAATAAGTTCAGCATTAAGATGTAAATGTGGGGATGATAGTTCTTAATAAATGTTCTCATTTCTTCTTTTTTTTTGAGACAGGGTTTCACTATGCAGATCAGGCTGGCCTTGAGCTCACTTTGTAGCCCAAGCTGGTCTCGAACTCACAATGATCCTCCTGCCTCAGCCTCCCAAGTGCTGGGATTACCGGTGTGCGCCACCACGCCTGGCAAATGTTCTCAATTCTTATCTAGGTTAGTTTTTAAAAAGTAGCCTACTGTATACTGTATTTACATGAGGTTATATTAACATTGTGGTGGAACCCTTGATCATGTTTTAAGCAGACTCACTGCTTGAGTGGAAAAATCTAGGGATAAGATAAAATTTAGGCTGGACTCAGAAACGAAGCCTATACGTTTCAAACGAATAAATGAGAACATTTCACTCATGTACACTGCAAACAGATCATATCTGGGCATCAGGTTTCACACTGGAATCTGCCAAAGGTCAGAATGATTTTGCTCAAAGCCCAGTGTGCCTGCAGAGTGGAGACATGCATGGACTCGTAGGGTCAGAGAACCCATTTCTGCTGTTTGAGGCTGACCCTCCCTGGAAACCCTGAGAACACCTGACTATCCCTTCTCTGTCAGCATTCCACTAAGTAGACTATTTCATTCCAACTCTGTTATGGTTTGTGTCTGGGGGCCCCCCAAGCCTCATACGGTCATGAGGCTTTTTGGAGGTGGCTGAATCAGACTTTGTGATTCTTGGTCCAATGCTAGGAGTAAGGGCGTGAGTGCTACACCTGCCCTAGGGTGAGAAGCCTGCAGAAATATAAGGGACAGAAAGAGGCTCGTCCTCTCTCTCTGTTGTTGCTTTTGCTGTCTTCTGATGCCATGAACTGTTGCCCCTCTGCCATGTGCCACCCTGCCTTGGAGCCAGCTGATTATGGACTGAAACCTCTTCACACTGAGCTAAATGAATCTTTTCCCCTCTAACTTCGGGTAGTGGGTATTTTGTCTCAGCAATGAGCAAAGAACTAAGACAGAATTTGGTACTACACAAGTGAGGTCATTGCTGTATAGCTGACCACGTGGTTCAAGAGCCTTTAGGGATGGTTTGTGGGAAGAGTGTGGAAAGGTTTGGAGATGCTGGCTGAAAGAGTAGAGCTGGAAAACCTTGGGCTGCGCTATATGGGAGATTCTGGTCAGAGCTCAGAACTCCTGCTGTTAAAGACCAGGCTGAGGAGGTTTCTGCTGAGAAGAAGGACTGCACTGGCTGCTGGACTTCAGATGATATGGGTTATGGTTTGGCAGAATGTTTGTCTGCATTTTGTTCATGTCCAGAGATTTTCCCTGAGACTGTGGCCAGATCAATGTTGAGAAACAAGAGCAAAGAGCCCAGCAGAATGATTTAAAATGTTGTTTGGCCAGAAAAGAAGCTCCAGTAAAGCTGTGGACTGCAAAGATGGAGAAGAGATCTTGACTGCTGACAAGAACAGGAGAAGAGAAAAGATGGCATGAGGGCATCACAGGAAGCAGCAAGATTCCACCCTCTGCAGCCTCAAAATTGCAAAAGTGAAAGACTTTCATTTGGGAAAAAAGCCCCAGAGCACCATGCTCCAGAATGGCAGCAGCCTAGAGAATTTGTTCCTCAGCACTAGATTCAGAGTGCTCAGTGATCCAGGCACTTGATCCCTACAGCCAAGAGAGAGGGAAGCCTGGCTACTGCTCTAGCTGGTAGCAGACCTTGGCATCATCCACAAGGGTCTGGTTTTAGGTGCATGCAGAATGGGAGAGTTGTGGGTTCAGGAAGGCTTCCACCTAGATTTCACAAGGCTGGGATGCCAGGCAGTGTGCCGCACCTGAGGGGGCAGTGTGTGAAGCTGTGAGTGTGAAGCCAAGGTGCAGTGGAGAACTCAGAAATTTGGAGAAGCCAGGAATGTGGATCCTCTGGGGAAAAGTGCAAGGAGGGAGCAGAGTCAGCCCAAAAAAGAAGCCACGGGAGCTAGAGCCACTGGAAGTGCCACAGCGGTGGAGCCACCCAAGCCCTTTGGAGCTCACATCTTGACACAGATTACCCCAGATGCTGCACACAGAACTATAAGACTTAATGCTTGCCCTGCTGGATCTCAGACTTGCCTTGGTCCCATTCTTTTACATCCCCATTTGTAACTTCTGGAATGGAAATGTCTATCTTGGGCCACTGAATATGGAAGCATTTAGCTTTCTTTTCATTTGTACAGGGGTTCACAGCTAACAGTTTGCCTTACATCTCAGAGGAGACTTGGGCCTTGGACTTTTTAAGCAATGAAACAGTTTGAAACTGTGAGGACTTCAGCAATTATGCCTTCAGCATAAAGGGGTGTGCAAGAGTCTTTGCAGGGGGCAGGCTTTTAGGAGGCAGCTGAATCAGAGTTTGTGACTGATTCTTGGTCCAATGCTGGGATTAAGGCTGTGAGTGCTATACCTGCCCTAGGGAGGGGAGCCTGTGTACAATATAAGGGACAGAAGAGTCTTGTCTGTAGGTGGTTGCTTTTGCTGTCTTCAGCCACCATGAACTGTTGCCCCTCTGCCATGACACTCTGCCTTGGAGCCAGCTGATTATGGACTGAAACTCTACAAACTGTGAGCTGAATAAACCTACCCCCTCTTAACTTTAGTTGTTGGGTATTTTGTATCAGTAATGAGAAAAGTAACTAAGACCAACAGTGTCTGTGTTGCTGTATTTACATGGTTTTCTTTCTTGTAATTCAGTGTGTAATTTATAGTAGGGACCTTATTCAGTCTTTTACCCTCTATTTCAGTAACAGTACAGTATCATGAGAACTAATCCTGGGAGCAATTCACAAATACATAGTCAAGAAAAGTTTGCAGTGCAAAAAGAAAAAGACACCAAGTTGTTTAAAGAACAGGGTAGTAGAGCTTGGAGTTGCAAGAGGTTGGACCAGTGATGTAAAAGACTGCCCTGCGATTATGAAGGAAGCACAAGGCCACTGGAAACTCCTGAAGGTATGACCAGTAACAGTAGTAGTGGCCACTGAGTGAGATTAGTTAGACCAAGGGACGAGGGACGAGGAATGCAGAACCAAATTTCTGTAGGCGACGGAGTCAAAGATTTAGAAATAAAGGTGTGAAAGAGTAGTTTCTGTATTTTTTCCTTTATGTGGGACAGTTGATCTTGAGCTTGTGGGGTGCAAACCAGCTCTAGATGTCTCCAAATCCCCATTTCTTTGCCTCCAATTCTTACGTGTCCAAAGACAGGCAGCAAAAGACACGCCTTTGTAGGAGGGTGACAGCTTCCAATTTAATGGGGGGTGGAAGAATGTAGTAGTTAACAACAAGAACTACTGACCGGGCTGCATGGATTCCCACACCAGCTCGCCCACTTCCTGGCCCCGGGGCCTGGGCAAGATGTCCAACCTCGATGAACCTTTCTGTCCCTATGTGTAAAGTGGGGATGACCAAAGACCTCCCCAAGAGGCTTGAAGAGGATAGATTAACCAAATTCCTTCTTTTATATAAACTCGAGAGAGGAACAGCAGGTGGAGGCAAAGGACAGAAGATGTTAAGAGGGCTGTGAGAGCAAGGTGCGGGGTGCTGATGGGAGTTCTGGGGAACAGCTGCGGGTGGCATCTGGAGGTGAAACCGCAACGCTTCCCTCCTACAGAGATCCAACAGCGCAGCAGTGCCCACGATAGCAGCAAATAAACCACTCTCAACAGCTCGTGTTTTCCCAATGGAATGGAAGCTCTGGCCAGCTGATAAGAATTCACAGTGGCTGTTTAGGACTTTACAAAGCCTTCTTCTAGATGGAAACGATCACCACTGTGGTCAGGGCAAAGTCTCCTTATGCAGCCAATGCTCTCCCTTCATATACACTGTCATTCGGGGACGTGGCTGTAACGTTTTGTGTTTCTTTTCTTTTCAGCTGCACGCTGCTACACTAGACCATCTGGGCATGAGTTTTAGACTGTTATCTGCCCAAGGTCAGGAAAAAAATGAACTTCAAATAACTGCCATTTACAGATGGTGGTTGTCAAAACCTTTACCAGTTTTAGAGAACCTCGTCCAGACCCTAGACTAACCCAAGTGCGCTGTGTGCCTCGTGGCCTCTGGGTGGGAGAGGCACGGACTGCCCTCCTGGGGGGGTGGGCACGTGCTATGTCTGCGTATCCTCTTGAGTTGGATAAAAGTCATAAAGAATAACCTTAAAATTCTCCTCAGGATGCCAGCACACACTCATACCAGGGGAGTGAAGAACAAAATGAGCTGTTTGCCTTCCTTCCAAGTTCCAAATCCTGTAAGAGAGTAGCAGCATGTTACATATGCTCGGTAAATCACTGCAAAAGCATGAAGTGTCCATCACTGTGTTCAAAGCTATTACCACAGGTTGTACGTAGGCATGTGTACTTGATGCACGTCTTCCGAGGAACTGCCCGGCAATGATCTACTTTTAACTATCAGAAGTATACTCTTTTCTTTTGCCAAATCAATACTTTTCATCCAGGTTTACTATACAAGGAAACAATTATAATTTAATTGAGGAAAGGCTCATACTCACTGAAGGTTTGCCAACTGCGTTTCTCTCCCCCGTGAGTGAACAGATTAATTATGGCGACAGAGTCAAGTCTTTCTTTTCCAGGGTCATTTGCACAGTAACATGCTGGGCTAGCACACATTTTAGCACTACTGAAGTAAGTCTAAATTTTTCTTCCAAATGCAGTGGCTCTTGGAATCCTATTTTAATATGTATGTGGTTTTTGTTGGATATTATATAAAATGAACAAATACATACCAGAATATTTTCATGATCCACTCCCCACTTCAAGTGGAGGAAACAGAAGTGGTACAAATATGGGCATTATATAAAATTAGGTCAATTAATGAAGTGCACTCATGTGCAAAGATCCAACTTCTGCCTAATTTTTAAGCAGTATTTTATCCTGAATAGAAATGATGCTGTTTTAAAAACTAACTTAAACAAGAGCAGGGTGATCCAGATTACTTTTCAGGGGAGCAGAATAAAAATGATTTATGGTTTATAATTATATGGTTATTCAATAATCCTCAGTGGTTGCATAAATCTAAGCACTAAGTATGCAAAAAGTACGATGAACTGGGCTGGAAAAGTTATCCTGACTAAATTGGCTGCAGATGGTACAATCTGAGTCACGAAGCCTTACCTCCCTTTTACGAGACTCCCTAATTAAGCCCTTCTCAAGTCCTTTTGCGGCACTCAGCTCAGTCTTCTGCGTCTCACTTGGTGGCAAGATGATGAACGTCTTGCTCACACTAGTTCCATCAGTTAGTGACACTTGTAAAAAGTGCACCATGCGGAAGTACACAGAGCGTGAGCATCCGAGTCAAAGAGAATGTGCTCAACGAGGACAGCACCCACACCCACAGCATCTCTGGAGCCTCGAGGTGCTCCGGTCCCTCCCTCCCAGTCCTCCTTCCTTTGCTCTTTCACAGAAGGCACACTGACACCATCGCTGACTTCTGCCTGCTGTTTAGTATCACATGCTCTGTCGTTTTTTTGCTTGATGGCTTTTCTCATTAGCTTCAGGAGACTTACCAAGAGCTGAACACTGTAATCTTTTCACTTTCGTTGCTGTGCATGGTATTCTGCTAATTAAACACAGCACAATGTGTTATCTACCTATCCTGCTGCTGACAGACATTGAGTTTCTTTCCAGTTTTTGGTTGTTAACAATAATGGTGCTATAAACCTTCTTGTACACATATCTGATATTAACGAATACAGTTGTCTACACAGCATTCCTTAGTCTATACACACGCACATACCCACTGCACACACGCACACACCTGCTAGGTATATACCTAGGAACGAACTGCCAGGTCAGTTTATGAATGTGTTCCGCTTTAGCGGGTAGATATGGTCAAATGGTTTTCCAAATTAACTGCATCTCATATCCCAGCCCCTCCCATATTCCTTTTTCAATTACCCATGGAAAAAACTCTAACTTTTTCTTATTTTTAGGCAAAAACAATCTTGCAATGATGAGCTGTCTGAATGGCAAAAAGTACCACTTTTCAGTCTGGTCTCATTTTGTGAGACAGTTTCTGAATTATCTTTTTTCCCTTGCATTTTATGTTGCTTTCATGTGCATATGAATGGCTACTTCTACATACATTTCCAAATGCAGTGAACACAATGCACAGAGCCTTCTACGCCGACCGGGCCACAGACTCTTCCTCTTCCCTGCTGTGGAACTGACAGAGACAGAGGGGTGTTTCTCCCTAATGAGCTCCCACGAGCACGGTACACAGTTACAAGAGGCAGCAGGGGTTTTTCACCTAACGCGCCACCGTTTGCTCATTCGTGTAACTACAGTTGTTAGCGCATAGCTGACAAAATATAAATGTGAAAGAGATTCAGTGAAGCAAGCTGATGGCAAGTAAGGGTAAGTGTCTAAAACGAAAGAACTGTCAGACAGTTATACAAATTAAAACATCTTCAAAATCTAGATGAATACAGATTAAGTATATTGTTTTCACTGATGACATTTTATTGTGGTTGTTGCTCATGCAAAAAAAGAACACAAGAAAAACAAAAAAGAGGTGTGATACCAATAAGTGGACTCAAAACGTAAGGAAAAACCCAGTCCAACATCAAGACTGGCAAATGAGTTTTTACGTACTATGTGTGTTGCAAATTAAAACAAGGTCAGTAGAAATGTTTTTAAAAAGATTTTCTGAGTTTACTGACTTTGGTTTTTAAAGAAACTACTAGTCCAGATCAAGTCAGATAAGTGGCTCCTAGTGTAACAGAGAAACAAATTCAAATGTGGAAATTCAGGTTTTAGTATTTCCAAATTTATTTATTCATAACTTTGCAACAAATAAAACTACCTGAAAGTCAATTATTATGCAGAGAAGTATATTTCTCAGGAAAATGGAATGTCACAGAAAGAGTAGCATTCTTAACATAAACATATGAAGAGATCATAGGCCATTTATAAAAGCATGGTATAAATGTTATCAGGTTAAATTATGTTGGCCCCAAACCAGGAGCTATATGAACTGTACATGTGTAAGATGAGCGTGGCAGTGTAAACCTGCAGTCCCAGCACTTGGGAGGCTGAGGCAGGAGAAGGCTCAAGAGTTTGAGGCCAGGCTTGGCTATATGAGAGTGCAAGGTCAGCCTGAGTTACACAGCAAGACCTTTACTCAAAACAACAAACAAAAGATGAAATGAAACAAAACAAAAAATAGAAAATAAATGAAATGTACAAGTGTACATGTTTAAACGTCTGCAGGAAAATTTCAAAAGAAAAGCTTTTAAGGTAAAGTTCATCTGCTGACATTTTAGAAGCCAAACCTGAAGGAAACAAAGGTCACTGGATGACTACGGCATCACTCTTCAAGTGAAGGAAAATGATGTGACCTATAATTTTAACAAATATCGTCCCCGTGCTCACATCACGGCCCCAAACACGACTCTCAGAAATTGGAGTTCTCATAAAGTGGAGGAGTGAGGAGCAAGTGGATCCAAGATTATGAGTTATGCTTTACTTTTAATAGTTTATTGCTGAAGTTTTAACCTCACTTCAAGCTGCGTGGTTTTCAGCAGAACAGTCAGTACCCCTACCATATGGTATTTAAGTGTTATTGTCCCGCCCAATTAATTGAAAGGGCCCATACATGCGGTGTTGGCACAAGGGGGATAGCCTACATTCTTTTAACTGACAACTAGCAGGGGTAGGCACTGAGAATGCCGAGGGAATTTCCTAGGTAATACTCGGTTCTTTTTGTTTGTTGTCCATTTTTAATTGGGAACTCATTGTCTGCCAGGGAGGTTATTGTGGAAGGAAATTTCTGCAACCAAATGTTTTTGGCAACACAGACAAAAGGAGGAATGGATGACATTACATGACACATCCGTATCCATTTGGCCCTCTCTGAGGGATAAAGCGAAACATAAACCACAACCTTTCTCAAACACAAGACCTGAGCCCATGAATCCGTGTGCCGACTGATTAAACACGAAAGCAAGACAGAGGAACACTGCAGGGGCGGGGTTACCGGGACGGGAGAGCACTTCCCACCTTTCCAGGGGCAGGAACGGGGCCGCGCACTCTGGACGAGCAACACACTCTTCACGGAGCTTGTGATGGTCAAATGAGGACTTCCCCTCTCATTCCCAAATAAGCAATCGCTAACTTACTCATCACGGTGCAGATGACTTCATAAAATCTAAGCCACGGTATATTTCCTTAGTAAGTGGACACACAATCACAAAGAGAAGTGAAACAAATTACAAGAGAATTCATTGCTAAAATACTGGTGTAAGTGCTCCCTGCCCGCCTTAGAGGAGGAGTACTTTACTGAAATCCCACGTCTAGGTGTTAGACTGACCACTGTGGTCATATGGGGTACCATACGGGCTTGGTAGGTTGTAGTGGTGAATAAGCTTTGTCAGTGTAAGTGTCAGTGTTCCAAATATATTCAGGAAGTAAGGGTGGACTTTAAAAAAAATCCTCAAGTGTACTGTGCAAGTAACAGTAACAGTTCTAATATATTAGCGTAGTAATTATCAGAACAATGGGTTATTTTGCTGAAGCCGGACTGAGCACAGGGGAAGGTGTACAGTGAAAACTAATGGCGTATGCTTATAATTTTACCTTTCAATGGCTAGAAATAAGGAGTCAGAAGCACAGTCAAAGGCTGAACGTGGGGCTCTGACAGAGCGGAGGGAGGGAGTGGCCGCCCCAATGTCACACTGATGAACCCGAAGCGACCCCCGAGCCCGCACTGCTGCACACCTTCGCGGGGCCGTGAGGAGATGCAGAAAATCACTCAGGCTCACACACTGGTGCTTTATTGTGGTTTCTTGAAATTATGACTAAATTAAGCAGAAATGACACATCCGTCAGCACAGGAGTGAGACGCCGAGGCCGCACCACAGCGAAATTATCAGCCTCTCACCTGACTCCGAGTTTTGCAGGGTGGGAATTGGGAAAGCTTGTCACGTTTGAAAATCAATCTCACAACCAAACCCTGAACTGCAGAGAAATACCACGTGGTTGTTTCCACACAGATTCTATGCAATGACTTCATTTTGGAGGAATTCAGAGTATAAGGGCTTTTTCTTTAATGAACACAAGCATTAAGACAAACACCAGTCACATCATTTAGGAAATACTAGCATTTATTTCTGAGAAAAAAAAAATTTTTAAGAGTAGAAAAATTTATTGGAGAAAAAGAATGGGGAACAGGAATGGGGAATAGCAGTAGGCCCTGAGAGACAGGAGGGGCCCCGAATGGGCTGCCACTA